CATGGCATATTCGGTCACCGACATTTCCCCTGTTGTAATCTCATAAACTCTGCCTCCCGAGCATGCCTGATAGGTAAAAATTCTATACCTACTATCCATAATGTTTTAAATGTTGAAGGTTTAAAGTACAATCTGCTTAACATAAGTCAATTTTGTGATAGTAGTATATACTATGACCTTTGACAAAGATGTATGCATAATCAAGTAAAATGATGAGTATGTGCTTTTTACTACCTAGAAGAAGAATAATCTTTGAGATTAATCTAGAAAATTTGGACAAATAGAATGTAACATGTTTGGTCTTAAAAGAAGATGAAAGATGGATTTGGCATAAAAAGCTTGGACATGTCAATTTGATACATATTTCAATCAACCAAAAAGAGTTTAGCAAAAGAACTACTTGAAATTTAAGTAGACCCGGTGTAGCATCCAAAAAAGGAATTTGCAGTCTTATCAAAATTGTGTTGCTCAACTTAAGTCAACAAAGCTTGTATATATAGGAAGACATGAAGAGTAGAACTGATGATCTGAACTTGCTCTCAATGGTGCCAAAACTCTGATAATTTCTAGTACTCAGAGTCTTGTAAATCTTTGTCCACCAAATGAGCATAAGAAAAGCCTAAGTTAGACTATCATTTTCCATGCAAGTTACCTTTCTAGAGTGTGCCAAAGCTTACATATCCTCTTCTTGAAAGTTATCTTATAACATACTTTATCTTGTAAAACTAAGAGCGTGTAGAGGCTAGTAAAAAATAATAAAAACAAAGATTTGCATCTATAAGTAAGAAGTGGCAATAAGAATACATGTAAAGTTTCATATTTTAGTAAAACCCTTTCAATTCAAAAGCAATTAAGCATACCTTAAATTGAGTGAATCAGTATAAAACAAACATGATTATATTTGTTTTTTTATCTCACACTTGTCTTAGGAATAAAAACATTTTATAACTTATATTTATGCGTTTGCAAAAATTTATCACACACATGTACTTTTGTCTGTTTGTTTACTTTCATATACTTGTTTTTATTTTAAAAGATTTTGTACCCAAAAAAAATATAGTGAAAATATGAGTTTTTTTTTTTTACAAAAATTTAAATTAGGACAAATGCATGACATTACCCTATGCAAAAGCAAAACCTACCACCAACCTTTTACCTTATCATCAACATAACATCGCATGAAAGGGTATAAAATGTGAGAGAAACTAGATTCGATTCCAAATTCTAGCTATTAGAAGCAAAAGATTCAACCAGTTATGTTATCATGGTGAGACAAATAGGATGTTATTTTTACCATTTTTATATAATTTGAAATTAAAATATAAACAGAAAAAGATTGATTCTAATAATCCACGTGTAATAGCTTAAAAGATATGATTTAAGAATTAAAGTTTATAAGAATACTTTACGATAAGATATATTTATTTGGAGAAATATTAATTATGATTATATAATAAGGATGAAGTTCTTAACTTTTACACATCAATAAACTCGATTACTTAGTTAAAACATATCTAGTCATCGGTGTTCCTGCGTAGAAACACTCCTCTTGTTGTTCTTCCTTCTTGGTCTTCTAAGTCTTAGGTGCCGACCGAATACTGTCTCCGAGGGGTGGGGGAGGGTACCTGCAAAGGCACTCCGACGATCAAGTAAGTATTCGGTTCAGAGCAATAAAGGCTTTATATTGGATAATAACGTACCTCATTTATGTACCATCACCTGTGTATTTATAGTGACATGAGTGGACCTGGTGGGCCTTTTATTTTGGGAGATGGGTAATATTTTAATTAACCTTAATCTTCTCTTAATCAGGAATGGTAGTTATTGCATAATGGGCATGTAATTTGCCACGTGTTTTATGTGGGTTCTCCTTGCCTTAAGTCTTTGGTCAAGCCTAAGGCCAACGAGGTATTTGGCCTGGTCTAGGCCCGAAGGGGTATTCGGCCTGATCTGGGGCCGAGGGGATGTTCGGCCTGGCCTGGAACCGAGGGAGTATCCGGCTAGGTCTAGGACTGAGAAGGTATCCGACTAGGTCTAGGACCGAGAGGGCACTCGGCTAGGTCTAGGGTCGAAGTGGGTATTCAACTTGGTCAGGAACCGAGAGGGTATTCGGCTAGGTCTAGGACCGAAGTGGGTATTCGGCTAGGTCTAGGACCGAAATGGGTATTCGGTTTGGTCTAGGGCCGAAGGGGTCTCTTTTGGTTTTGGTGTGTTCGACCTTTGACCGGGTCAAAGGTGGGCGCCAACTGGTACACTGCCCCCCCAAGCCCAAGGATGAAAGACGAAGGGGTTTGAGTAGGTTTGGTGGGTTTCTAGGGTTTCCGTACGCTTCTCAGGGGCCGTGACTGTTGATGATAGTGACCTTGTTTATTCAACCTTGGCCGAGCAGGGTGCTCGGGAGGGAAGGTGAATACTCATCCTTGGCCGAACGAGTGTGTTCGGGAGGGAAGTTGAATGTTCGTCCTTGGCCGAACGAGTGTGTTCGGGAGGGAAGTTCAATGCTCATCCTTGGCCGAACGAATGTGTTCGGGAGGGAAGTGGAATACGCATCCTTGGCCGAACAAGTGTGTTCGAGAGGGAAGTTCAATGCTCATCCTTGGCCGAACGAATGTGTTCGGGAGGGAAGTTGAATGTTCGTCCCTGGCCGAACGGGTGTGTTCGGGAGGGAAGTTGAATGTTCGTCCTTGGCCGAACCCAGCTGCAACTCTCTCGCATCCACCCTAGCAAAATGTGCAGTCTGCTACTGCATCGCCATGGCCATCATCTCCATGGCCCTAGCTATCTGATCATACTGTGGCCTCACCATACTACAAGAATTCAAACATCTTATTAGTAACATCATACCACCATATATCACCAAAACTAACACATATCAGAGATATGACACAACAGAAACCTAGAAGGATCACTCCCCATAGAGTATCCAAAAGACTCGACCGGCTCTGATACCATAAAAGTGTAACGACCTGCCATGGTCTCTACACTTAGTGGAATCGCACTACAACTAGTTAACTAAGAGAATATTAAACTAGATAACTCATACATACAAGCATAGATATAAGGATCAAAATTACTAAGTTTCTGTATACAAAATAAAACACCATATATGTACAGTCATCCCAAAATATTCCCTAGTGCCGGTCAAGCACAGGCAAAATCGTTACCAAAAAAAAATTGTAACTCTAACACGAGGCTCAAACTCTCCGTCTCGCAGCGGACACCTCTACTCTAAGCTATCCCTGACCTGCTCCCATACCAAGTATGATCATTGCAGTCCCACCACATGGAAACAGAAGGGTAAGCTAGAGTTCAAAAACAATCATACAAGTACAGAATAAAATCTATACTATACATGCATCCCAATCAAGCCCCAAAGGAACCTTCCATCTCAATCAATCATCCATTCATCAAAAATGAAGTCAAACACCATACACTTCATTATCATGACAATCATGCAATACATGCAACTCATGACAGATATCAATGCATATCAATCATCTAATGCGTCATCACGCATACACCTAGGAGATCTCCCTAACAATAGAGCTGTATAAGTGACATCCCATCCTACTGAAATCACCCCAACCGTTTTCACGCCCAATGCGCCCGCTCGGTCACAACTAAACAGGATATAATCCTCACTTGGGTTTACTCGGATGATGTCACTTACACAATTGGAAGTCCAGATGCACCGTCAGGTATAGCACAGCTGGGTACGTGCTTACCACGACCTTGACATGCATAACCAAGTCAATTGTGGAGTTCGCCCACTGACTATCCGCAAGGATCCATGCACCTTCCCGAGTACTTGGTTAAGGGAATAACCATCGACCTCATACCCCGCTCCAACACTAGCTAAGGACTTAGAGGAGACTCACCCAACCCAGTGGCCTACCTGAGCACCACTCCCAAATCCAGTGGCCTATCTGAGCACCACTCTTATATATCAGTGGCCTATCCAAACACCACTCTCAAGAGACTCTATGTGAGCTCTTCCAGTTTGAAAATATTTTTCCTCTCCTCAAGTCCTAGGCTAGACTCATGCCATATAAGCCTCTGCCCCTGACAATGCAAACACTCTTCCCGCAGCTGTAGGCCTGGGTGGCCTCGGGGCACTCCCAGATAAAGTCGACGGTGTCTGACAATCTCTAGAGATGTGACCTGGCCTGCCACATCTGAAGCAAACATTCCCCGGATGGGAACATTCTCTGATTGTGTGAGCTCCTCCACATCTATAACATCTGAGAGTAGCAGCTCCACTCTGACCCCCACTCCTAGCTATGTTAGTAGGTTTCCTTGTGATAGGACCCCCTTGCTGAGATTGGGGCCTATCATAAGGCTTTCTCTGAGAACCACTACAACTCTTGGACCTAACTGGCCCACCAACAGTCTTCGTTGACTTGCCGACGCTCTCTAGCCGCTCCACAACCTTCGCCTTCTCTACCAAGGCTGGAAACTCTGTGATGGCCATAGGCACCACCACCCTCCTCAAATCATACTTCAAGCTTTCAGCAAACTTCCTACACTTCCAAGCGTCAGAGATGGCTTGGGTGTAGAAGCGTGCCAAATGCTCGAATCTCATGGCATATTCGGTCACCGACATTTCCCCTGTTGTAATCTCATAAACTCTGCCTCCCGAGCATGCCTGACACTCTCTGGGAAGTACTTCTCGAGGAAGGCCCTCTTGAAGCACACCCAGTCCACAACCACTCCACGGTCAAACATCATCTGACTAATACCTCTCCACCAATACTCTGTCTCTCCTGTCAACATATACACTGCATAAGCAAGCTTTCGCTCCTCTGAACAACCTAAAACTGAGAATATCTTCTCCAACTCGCAAATCCAGTGATCAGCCACATCCGGATCTGCATCACCTCTAAACTGAGGAGGACTACACTTCCTAAACTCAACCATATCCCTACTCGCATGAGACCCACTAGATCCTACTGCACCAGCTGCAACTCTCTCGCATCCACCCTAGCAAAATGTGCAGTCTGCTACTGCATCGCCATGGCCATCATCTCCATGGCCCTAGCTATCTGATCATACTGTGGCCTCACCATACTACAAGAATTCAAACATCTTATTAGTAACATCATACCACCATATATCACCAAAACTAACACATATCAGAGATATGACACAACAGAAACCTAGAAGGATCACTCCCCATAGAGTATCCAAAAGACTCGACCGGCTCTGATACCATAAAAGTGTAACGACCTGCCATGGTCTCTACACTTAGTGGAATCGCACTACAACTAGTTAACTAAGAGAATATTAAACTAGATAACTCATACATACAAGCATAGATATAAGGATCAAAATTACTAAGTTTCTGTATACAAAATAAAACACCATATATGTACAGTCATCCCAAAATATTCCCTAGTGCCGGTCAAGCACAGGCAAAATCGTTACCAAAAAAAAATTGTAACTCTAACACGAGGCTCAAACTCTCCGTCTCGCAGCGGACACCTCTACTCTAAGCTATCCCTGACCTGCTCCCATACCAAGTATGATCATTGCAGTCCCACCACATGGAAACAGAAGGGTAAGCTAGAGTTCAAAAACAATCATACAAGTACAGAATAAAATCTATACTATACATGCATCCCAATCAAGCCCCAAAGGAACCTTCCATCTCAATCAATCATCCATTCATCAAAAATGAAGTCAAACACCATACACTTCATTATCATGACAATCATGCAATACATGCAACTCATGACAGATATCAATGCATATCAATCATCTAATGCGTCATCACGCATACACCTAGGAGATCTCCCTAACAATAGAGCTGTATAAGTGACATCCCATCCTACTGAAATCACCCCAACCGTTTTCACGCCCAATGCGCCCGCTCGGTCACAACTAAACAGGATATAATCCTCACTTGGGTTTACTCGGATGATGTCACTTACACAATTGGAAGTCCAGATGCACCGTCAGGTATAGCACAGCTGGGTACGTGCTTACCACGACCTTGACATGCATAACCAAGTCAATTGTGGAGTTCGCCCACTGACTATCCGCAAGGATCCATGCACCTTCCCGAGTACTTGGTTAAGGGAATAACCATCGACCTCATACCCCGCTCCAACACTAGCTAAGGACTTAGAGGAGACTCACCCAACCCAGTGGCCTACCTGAGCACCACTCCCAAATCCAGTGGCCTATCTGAGCACCACTCTTATATATCAGTGGCCTATCCAAACACCCCTCTCAAGAGACTCTATGTGAGCTCTTCCAGTTTGAAAATATTTTTCCTCTCCTCAAGTCCTAGGCTAGACTCATGCCATAAGGCATCACATGCAATCATGCATCATACATCATACATGGTCTGCCCACCATCATGATCAGCAATCATACACATGTCATAAGACATCACATGCAATAATGCATCATACATCATACATGGTCTACCACCATTATGATCAATAAACATACCCATATGAACATATACACATGTCATATCATATTCAACCATTCATACGTATCATCACAAAGCATACATATGAATCATACCTCACCATACATCATATATCATACATACATGATCTAAAACTTTGACTTTAAACATGCATAAGCATCAATTTAAATCAATTATTTATAAATATAATCACGCACAGCGCAGTCAGCTCGCGCCTGGCCTAACACCAACCCAAGAGCTCTAAGCTCTTCCACGCCTGGCG